AAGCTATGATGAATATTCTCGCTTCGATGAGCAGACTTTGTAATGGATGTAAGGATAATTTAAAATGGATTTTCTTAGTTATAATCCAAAATATTTACTACCATTTACATTAATAAATATTTGTTGAAATTCCCAACGAATATATCGTTTTCGATTATCAAAATAAATTCAATACTTATTGCCAAGTCGAAACATTTTAGAACTGTAACAAAGGAAGCTTCTACCCAGCTTTAAAAAATGCAGATCGTATCGTAAAGTACATGGCAAATATTAGGAACTATTAAGGATACGAAAAAGGTAAAAGACACAATTTAATATTTTTAGGAAATCCTGGCTAGAAGCGAAATTGATATTAAATTACTTTCTGTATAGGTACCGTCACCGAATGTTCTGCGTCAGATGTTCAAGGTTTATATTTCAGTTACTGCGCGAAGTAATTTGACAAAATTTGGGCCAAGTATACAGGGTGTTCCGCATATAATTCTCCAAACCAATTACTTATAAAAACTGGAATGGTTTTTAATTCAGTAAACGGATCATTGTGGACAACTTTAGTGGCTATAATTTTTATACCTATACTAAAAGTGAGTAGAGCCCGGATCCGATAGGTATATTGAGAATATTGTCGTGGAACATATTAAAAATGACGATTTTCCAGAGTTAGAGTTTGATGGTACAAAATTTCGGTGCAATATTTGTGAGAAAATATCGTCATGTATCCCTCAGGTCTGGGCTCTAACGATTATAAATCTGATGTTATAGAAATCGAACTGTCATATGATAATGGTCAAATCATAGAACTTGAAATATAAAACGTGTTCCAAACCGAGACTATGTAGGCCGATTATTTAGTAACAAAAATGAAAATATCCATATGGTCCGATTCGAAAATGTTAATTTATTTTTTTTCTCTTTTGATCCATTTACAAGTTGTAGGTAAAATTATCAGATGAAAACATAATAGTCTCAATACCTACTTAAATTATTTTCAAAAACACACCAGCAAATAAACAGATATAAAATAATTATTACTTATATTACTGTTACACAACTCACTGCAACACGATAACCTTCTTAAATTATTTTCAAAAACACGCCAGCAAATAAACAGATATTAAATAATTATTATTTATCTTATAATATTATACTTACAATATAACAGCACTACTAGAATGATTCGGCAACAAAATTAAGTGCGGCTCTGAAGTATCATAGAAGTGAAACTCCGCCTCGGTCGCGTGCCTACAAAAACAACAATTGTCGTTCTCGCTTTAATTTAAGCGGTGTAAAAGACGGATGATGTCATGTGTTATACATTTCCCGCCCACATGTCGCGTCGCACGTCCTGTCACAATATAGGTTTCGCTGACTATACCGAATATAGATGGTTCGAATCCATTCCGGAGCAAGTTAGAAATTTTATTTGTAATTTGTTTCGGATTAATATGGGAGAGAAGATGCCCTAGATGTGATTCAGAGTCCACAATAAACTGTAGGGCATCGTCTCTCTTTACTCAACACAAAATCCTAGGATTTTCTGGGAGTTACTTCTGTGACTTGAGAGGTGGTTAAGAAAACATTAGAGAACATTATTTCTATTAATTACTGATTATTGATATTGATTATTATAATTTACTACATAATTATATAATGCTACTTTATTGAATTGTAGTGTACAAAATTTATTTTACTGTTCACCACATCGATATAAGGAACATATATAAAAAACATCGGCGTCTTTGATGACAGTAAAAATCCTATTACCGTCTTCAAAGTCGCCGACGTCTTTTATGTTCTTTATCGGTAAACTATACGTTATAGTGTTACTTCGAAATATTGATTAATGGCAAAACGTTTACGACACGTTTTATATGTATTACTGGTGTACATAACTCCAAAACCTTTTATAAACGTTTTTGTTTGACCTCAATGGACTATTCACTTGATATGAACGTTTTACTAACGTTTAATTGAACAGTTTTATTTAAATGCTTTAAATAACGTTAATTACTTCCTCACTCGTCAGTAAGGAAAGTATGTCGTAAAATTTTTTTTAAAATTTTTATTGCATTTCTGGACGAATCTCGACGAATTATGACGACACACAAGAGTTCAGACAAAAAAATTGTCTGTCGTGTGTGCGTGCGTGCGTGTGTGTTTGTCTGGTTCGCGCTAGTAGCTACATTTATTGAGATAAAGCTTTCAAATTTGGTAAACACATTCTAGAGGTCAAGGAAGAGATTGAGTTCGTTGATGAACAAAATCGGACCCCTGGAACAGGGTCTATCGGGCCCCAACATTTCTATTTATAACTTCATAAACAAATTTATTCCTGATAAAAGATTATAAATCAGATCTGTTATACAAACCCATTATAATATTGTGTTCAAATGTTTAAATAAAGCTATAAATTAAAATTTTGTAAACATTTTGGCGACACCATAAAATTTGAATTTTGATTGACACTTCTTAAAATTTGATATGTCAAAAAAATATATTATTGACCACCAATGTGACTTTTTTGAAACGTCAAAAATTATTTTTATTACAATCTCCACTACGCATCGAATTTTACTACGGTGAGGAAGTTCTGATCCCCAAGTAATTGGTAACGGTTTTTAATGTTGTCAAAAGGACTGCTAACATTTTTTTGTGAAAAAATCATGTATTTTTAACGTTACGATGGACCGTTATTTTTTTCAACAATAAATGAACGGTTAATTTTCTAACGTAACACGAATTATCAACCATTGACACGTTGAAAATACGTTTTAAAACGTGTGTGTGTTTACTGGGGTATGTCTGTGCACATAACTACCATTGCGCTCCACATTTAATTTTTTTTCTATAAAACCCTTAATATTTTATTGGCATATGGGTGAATAGAGAATTGAACTCTATCATTAAAAAACCTGTCATTTTTAAATTTTCTATAACAAAAAATGCTCAACTGAAATTAAAAATCGACCTGTCTGAGGTTTTGCTTGATATATAATATAAAGGAGAAAATTTATTTATTCTTAACTGATAATTAAATAGTATGAAAAACTGAACTGAAAGTGGCATACCTATATGGCAATTATAGGCAAATGGACATAATCCACTTCTTATCCTTCTGAATTGATAACTTAATTATTTCGAAGGAGTAATTACTTTTTAATAGTTTTTTTACTAATACAATTTTTTTTTTGCTTTCAGCCAGTTTATAAGATTGCTGTTTTTTAACAAAACTGAGCAAGATATTCCATTTAAGGATCAACTGGAGAATTTGGAAAGAAGGTACTCCAAGTAAGTAAGAGAGCTAGAATTAAATTAATTCTATAATACAATATGTGCTAAAAATATATTTTGATAATAGTTTCTGGAATCAGCTTCATCATCACTGCTTATTTTGACTGCTTAAACAAATCCTAGAAACTAGAAACGTTTAATTTTGCTCCTGGATCGTCCTGTATATTAATTTTTATATAAAAAAAATTTTTCACAGATTAAGGATCAATCACATTCTGTCAGAATCCGACGAAAACTGGACTGGCCTAACAGGCCACATCAACAAGGAAATGATCGATAATGCCATACAAGAACACATAAGGGACACCGGTTATACGATAGCACATATTTTCTGCTTCGTTTGTGGACCAAACCCTTTTGTAGCTCTATCTATAAAAGAACTACAACAACTAGGAGTAACCGATAACCAAATTTATTCCTTCCAGGGATAGCATAACCCTCAGGGTAGTAATTTCTTGTCCTATTTCGAGGAAAGATCCCCTACAGAACCATCTTATGTTAGAAACAATGTAAATAATTTTGTTTTTGGTATTTTTAATATGATCGGGAGACCAGGATTTGTTAATAATTGTTTATATTTACTGTTAATTAGTCCCAACTTTCATAAATTAACAAAATGATATGTTTTTATTTTATTTAGTTGCTGTTATTTATAGGGAGAGGAGATATCGTATAATTAAATAACATAGGTACTTCATTATTCAAAGGGTATTCATAACTTCAAAAATGAAAATGTATCCGGAAATAATATTGACTTCTAATCTATTAAATTATGGATATTTATTAATCATGATGTGTCTAAAAAACAACCACAGTTATACAAGTTTTGGTGGTGATTTATAGTCGTAAGAAAACGTTATTGTGGGTTAATTCTATTTTTCGACACCAGAGATGACATCAAAATTGTAATTGATCATGTATTAACTAATTTTTTAACAATAGATGATTTAAAACACGCCATTTTTATCTAAAATAAATGAGGTCGTCATTGCTATAAGATCAGCAATCGGGAAAGTTAAAGCTGAACACCTTGTATGTATAAAAATATATTTATACTTTTCACGAAGAGAATGCTATATCGCATATTGCTATATGGTCCCCATTTCCAATAGCAGTAGATATGTTTCGTTCTCTTATGAACTCAGTGATACTACCAGGCTGGAGAAAGGTATGACATTGCAATGGACGTTTTACCAAAATTCATTGAAGTTCTTGTGGATTAAAACCACAGGTGATATAATGCACCATCTCTTCATGGACAGATACAGTTCAGAATGTGTATGTTTTATGGGTTATCACACATACTATACTCTTCGTAATGTTTGGTGGTTAATTGTACATGTCCGATGACTTCCTCGTAGTCAAAGAATCTTAGCTTGCAATTTATGAAATGCTAAATACAATACTTTATATTTTTCGTAACTGAAATGATGTATGGAAAAGAAATAAAATATTTATTCATATTTTTATTTATATGTTGTCACCAAATATAGTCTAAAGTAATCGGTTTCCACCACAAGTAAATTTTAAACAGTATTTAAGATACCTACTTATATTTTTTTCGTAATATTTATGTTTGATCATTATACTAAAATCAATATGTATGAACTATGATAACTTCAAATACATTTTACAAACTTTTTTAACCTTAACAGCTATTTATGCATTGTGTGTTATGGCAATAATATAACTTTATTGTAGTACTGGTGGGCATGGTAGCCGAGTGGGTAAAGCGCTTACAGCTATTGAGTCGGTACTGAATATCAATGGTTCGAATCCATCCTGGAGCCAGTTGGAAATTTTATTTGTAATTTGTTTCGGATTAAGATGGTAGAGACCTGTCGATGCCCTAGATGTGGTTCGGACTCCACAATAAACTATAGGGCTTCGTCTCTTCTTACTCAACACGAAATCCTAGGATTTTCTGGGAGTTATTTCAGTGACTTGAGAGGCGATTAAGAAAACATTTAAAACAATAAGCTGCAGGGCCCTTTGTGTTTGAATATATTTATTACAGAAATAAAGTTTAATAATTTGTTTTTATAATTATGTAAAAATACACTTTATGTGAATTTAGACACATTTTTTAATGAAAACATTGCAAAATAAAGACATTTTGCGAATATGAGTTATGAATACTTTTCCCACTTTTGAAAATAATGTATCGTCGGTGTAGTGGACATATTGATTTATTCTTTTAATACTTCCAGTTAGTTGTTAGTGATCTATTGTTAAAATAAATAAAAGCAATATGGCGTCTAAAGCTGGTCTTTATAGCAGCAGAAATGTTTTAAGGACACGCAAAACTAAGTAATAACTCACTGCGTTAGGTTTCTTGTTAAGTTTTGTGATGAATCACGTGTTTAAAACTTTTAAATCATATTTTCATGTGATAGACTGCATCGTTGTCTGTATATTTGTGTAAAATATGATTCTGAGAAGTGTATATATAAAGATATATTACTGAACAAATAAAGGCTATTTTATAAAAAAATGTGTTTCATTTCATTTTGTTTCTTAATTTATTGGCACTTAAATAAAAAACAACGATGTATGAATGTCATTGATTTGTTGACGAGATTTTCTATCTAGTTAGTTTTTAATTATTTTAAATTTAACTAAAGTGCCTTCAAATTTAGATTTAATTTGTATATAAAAAAAATAAATAGTACACACACCGGCAAAAAAATCGATCCACCCAAAATTTTGATTTGATGTTTGATAACTTTTTCACCCTTGGACCGATTTTAATAATTTTGTTAGCGAGTTGTAGATAAATTCATATAGATTATTGTGTTATTTTCAAAAAAAAATTGACTTGTATAGTATACCAGGTGAAACATAATAATAATAATAATAATAATAATAATACGGATGCCGGAGAGACCTATACATATCTGGGTGTGCAACAAAGGCACATCTAGGATGTATCACAAATAAAAGATTCTCTCCGCGGCAAATACAGACACCGCCTCCGAAAGATTTGGTCTACCGAACTTTCGGGGAAGAACAAGGTGTCAGCAACTAATATGCTTGCCGTTCCGATTCTGCTCTACTCCTTCGGAGTAGTAAAGTGGAGGGTAGATGAGCTGCGCCAATTAGACAGAGATACCCGCAAGATGATGAATATTCACAGAAGTATTCATCCTAGTTCGTCCGTTCCTCGTGTGTACCTCCCACGTCAACGGGGGGCCGAGGACTCTTGAGCCTGGAGTGTACGCATGGCAGAGTAGTACTGAGTATGGCATGTAACATACTCAGGAGCTCAGATCCCCTCTTGCGGTTCGTAAAACATCACGAAACTGTAGGAGTGGGAGCAGGATTGTTCAAGGCAGCAAAAAGAGCCGCAGATGAACTCGGTCTCGCATTTGATATCAGGCGAGGAGGCCGGCGAGGTGCTGATGTTGAGTCAGTCACCGAACTTCAGCCAAATCGTCTGAAAGCCCGAATTAGAGCTGCCGAACAGGAAAATCTGTTTCGGCAGCATGTCGATAAACCCCAGCATGGTGTCTTCTATAAGAACATAGAAACACTGGGTTTATCGACCAGGCTGACCTTCGCCTTTCTAAGGTCAGCAGGGCTTAAGTCGGAGACCGAGGGATTTATTATGGCCTGCCAAGATGGTGTTATCAACACCTTGGTCTACCGTAGCCGCGTGTGGCGTGTAGAGGTTCCTGATATCAACTGCAGGACCTGCCATCAGGCGCCGGAATCGCTCATGCACTTACTTTCTGCATGCCCCATATATGCGATTTCGGCCTACATCCACCGACATAACGCGGCTTTACGAGTGCTATACTACCATCTAAGGCACTCGTACGGGGTAGACCAGACACCAGTGCTGCCTTACGTCCCCGGAGATATTGAGTCCGTTGTCGAGAACGAGAAATGCCGGATTTACTGGAACTACTCGTTCCCGACTGTCAGGCTAATCCAAGCCAACAAGCCTGACATAGTCCTCCTCGACCATCAACTCAAGGTGATGTATGTCATCGAGTTCTCGGCACCTGCGGAGAAAAACATCACCTTGAAGGAGGAGGAGAAACGGACCAAATATCGCGATCTCCGGTACGAGCTCCAAGTGCTGTACCCAGGCTACTCGGTAAAAATGGTAGTCCTTATAATCGGTGTACTCGGAGGGATAAAGCCTACGCTGCTCTCGGAACTGAAGATCATACCGGCCTGCCAAAAATCAGCCGAGTGGCTGGTAGGCCAAATGCAGAAGGCGGTCATTCTGGGTTCTCTCCGTCTCCTTAGGGCACACGATTCTGGTATCTACAGTCGCTAACCCTGCGGGATGTGGGGAGTGGCTGTAGTTGATGCGCTGGCGCGACTCCCGTGAGGCGTCGGAGGCCACGGGAGGACTGACCGGCATCGGGAAACCGAAAAAAAAAAAAAGTAATAGGCTGGCAGGCCAAATGCAGAAGGCGGTTATTCTTGGTTCTCTCCGTCTGCTTAGGGCACACGATTCCGGAGCCTACAGTCACTAACCCTGCGGGATGTGGGGAGTGGCTGAGGTTAATGTGCTGGCGCGACTCCCGTGAGGCGTCGGAGGCCACGGGAGGACTGTCCAGCGTCGGGCAACCGAAAAAAAAAAATAAAAAGGCACATCCAGGATGTATCACAAATAAAAGATTCTCTCCGCGGTAAGTACAGACACCGCCTCCGAAAGATTTGGTCTTTCGAACTTTGGGGAAGAACAAGGTGTCTGCAACTAATATGCTTGCCGTTCCGATTCTGCTCTACTCCTTCGGAGTAGTAAAGTGGAGGGTAGATGAGCTGCGTCAATTAGACAGAGATACCCGCAAGATGATGAATATTCACAGAAGTATTCATCCTAGATCGTCCGTTCCCCGTGTGTACCTCCCACGTCAACGGGGGGGGCCGAGGATTCTTGAGCCTGGAGTGTACGCATGGCAGAGTAGTTCTGAGTATGGCATATAACATCCTCAGGAGCTCAGATCCCCTCTTGCGGTTCGTAAAACATCAAGAAACTGTAGGAGTGGGAGTAGGATTGTTCAAGGCAGCAAAAAGAGCCGCAGATGAACTCGGTCTCGCATTTACATCAGGCGAGGAGGCCGGCAAGGTGCTGATGTGGAGTCAGTCACCGAACTTAAGCCAAATCGTCTGAAAGCCCGAATTAGAGCTGCCGAACAGGAAAATCTGTTTCGGCAGCACGTCGATAAACCCCAGCATGGTGTCTTCTATAAGAACATAGAAACACTGGGTTTATCGACCAGGCTGACCTTCGCGTTTCTAAGGTCAGCAGGGCTTAAGTCGGAGACCGAGGGATTCATTATGGCCTGCCAAGATGGTGTTATCAACACCTTGGTCTACCGTAGCCGCGTGTGGCATGTAGAGGTTCCTGATATCAACTGCAGGACCTGCCATCAGGCGCCAGAATCGCTCATGCATTTACTTTCTGCATGCCCCATATATGCGATTTCGGCCTACATCCACCGACATAACGCGGCCTTACGAGTGCTATACTACCATCTAAGGCACTCGTACGGGGTAGACCAGACACCAGTGCTGCCTTACGTCCCCGGAGATATTGAGTCCGTTGTCGAGAACGAGAAATGCGGGATTTACTGGAACTACTCGTTCCCGACTGTCAGGCTAATCCAATCCAACAAGCCTGACATAGTCCTCCTCGACCATCAACTCAAGGTGATGTATGTCATCGAGTTCTCGGCACCTGCGGGGAAAAACATCACCTTGAAGGCGGAGGAGAAACGGACCAAATATCGCGATCTCCGGTACGAGCTCCAAGTGCTGTACCCAGGCTACTCGGTCAAAATGGTCGTCCTTATTATCGGTGTACTCGGAGGGATAAAGCCTACGCTGCTCTCGGAACTGAAGATCATACCAGCCTGCCAAAAACCAGCCGAGTGGCTGGCATGTCAAATGCAGAAGGCGGTCATTCTGGGTTCTCTCCGTCTGCTTAGGGCACACGATTCTGGTATCTACAGTCACTAACCCTGCGGGATGTGGGGAGTGGCTGTAGTTGATGCGCCGGCGCGACTCCCGTGAGGCGTCGGAGGCCACGGGAGGACTGACCGGCATCGGGAAACCGAAAAAAAAATAAATAAAATAATAGTAATTTAATAATTTATTAAATATGTTACAAAAATGTAACTGTAAAACTTATTTCATGTAGCCAATGCAGTTTTATGAGTAAAGATGCCGAAATGATCAATACGGATATGAAAATATTAAACATTAAAATCAGAATATTGTGGACAAGTCTGCTTAATTCGACTGTTTTAAAATTTTTCATAGGTATTAGGTGGTATATTATGCGGTAAAACTTACGGTAAAATGAAAGTTATTTTCTTCTTACAAAAATTTTTTAATAAGACAATTATAATTATTAAACTACTTACTTTTATTTTTAAGAGCTTTGAGAAATGTTTTTAGGAAACTTCAAAAAGTTAATTATTTAGGCAGATTTATCCACAAATTGGAATTCTGTCATAAATCTAAATTCTAAACAACTTTTCTTAATAATAGTTTTTTTGTAGCCTTAAAATTGAACGTAGCTTTAGTCTAACATAATTTTCAGATTTTTTGAAATTTTCTGGAGACAATGACAATCTTATTTTTAACAAAATTAAAACTTTTGATGAAGAATAAATTTTCCGCATAAAATGAGAAATAAAAACGTTTTCCCTCTTATCCACTTTAATTGTGAACGTACTGTATATATACTATAATCCCACAGAAACTTCATTTGATATCGATTCACGTTTCATCTCCTTTAACATATCGTATCGAGATTTAGGAATCCC